ATCAGAATATGAGGATGAAGGTAGTTTGTAATCATTGTTAAAAACAAATCAGATTTGTGCGATTCTATAGTTCAATTTCTTGACCATCTAGAAAAATATTTTATTATTTCTGGTAGAGAATATCAAATTTAATTAGACATCACGGAACATGGGATGGGTTCTAATGAACAAAAAGTACTACTTCTATAACCCGCAAAAGAACGTAACTGAAATGGAAAACTTTAAATATTTTGAAGAATTAATAAACTTTAGAAAAAAGATCTCCAATTGCAGTTTATAGTTTTTTATAGTTTCATAAGAAAATTTTGAAATTCAGAGATGGTAGAGAACTAACCGTTCTTTTTTCAATGAATTACAGAAGTAATGGAACATCAATTTTGAATTCTCAAGAAGACGCTGATATTAACAAACACGAGGATAGGAAATTGTGATAAAGGTTCTAACAGAAGCTCTCCGTAAATGACGTAGTACAGATCAATGCATTAAGACTAGACAATTTAAGTATACCACAGTAAAGTGGAAAATAAGCGGAAATGAGGTCTTCAAAGGATCTAAGAGAATATGGTTACTAGAGCCCAAACGAGATCATTTTAGTTAAGGTGAAGAAAAATTTAGTATTTCAGGAAAAAATAGTACAAAATTACCCAGAAGACTATTTCCACATATTCATTTCCAGTGGATGATCGGGAGAGCCAGAATTATATTTTAATTATATGTCCGACAGAAAGGGTGGAATAAGCCCTCCTTTTGGTCTGAAGACTCAAGTATTAGAAGTAATGTGTGAGAATGGATTTCAAGAATGTCAATGGGAGGAGGGGGGGGGCGAGATATCTACAGATCGTTGAGAAGATTGAGAAAACGGAGTTGGACCAGTCAGAACTTACGATATTTGTTCTGTAGATCATGGGTAGCGACTACTCGGGACCTGCAACAAAAAAGAAAATATTACGTACATTCTATTTTTTTCACTCTTTCTTTCTAAAAAAATCTATCGTTTATGATTTAATTTTCTTCTTTAAATAATTTCAATTTACTTTTTGCAAATTATGTTTACTTTCATTTTCGTGTGAATAATGCATGTACTTTCAAAGGCAGGTTTTAGTTAATACAAATTGTGCACGTTTTCTCTAGCTCCGGAACACCTACCACACCTTTTTACCTGAACATTGTTAAATTATGAATGAAAGTACCAACAAAGCGTTTTAACAACATTTGAAAAATAGAAATTTTTGCTTCTGAATAAAAAAATACATCTGCTGACTATAGATTTGCGAATAATCTGACGGATGAGAGATTAAAACAAATCTAAATAGTGGCTTACCCACGTCACCATAAAAACAGCTGTTTTCACACATTTTATTTTTCACATTTCACACAGATGAAACACGAGATAGCTCGCTTCTTTCCAGTCTGTCTTATCTGAATACAGATTCATATCCGGTAAGCCCACTTCTTTTTACTAGTCTAAGATTGTTACGCCTGTCGATCACATTGAAGATTACCTGAAACAGTAAAGTTACTGGCACAGACATCTGTTCTTCACAAAATCAGTACATACTTCTACAGAGTTCAAACCTAACTCTGTAAATCGTGTATTGATTAATTATTCGCTAGCACACTTTAAGGAAATCATTAAGGTGTAAATTTTATCTTTTTTCCTTAATTGCATTTTCCCCACATTTCTTAGTTATTTTAAACATGCTGAAAAATAAGCAGAATTAGAGCTGAAAAATAAGCAGAATTAGAACAAATTTAGAACTATTAGAACAGTATTTATATATCAACAATTTATTGGGTTGGTTAATTTATACTATATTAGAGTTCAAGAAACGTCTTGAAAAATATCCCCATTCACATTAATTTTAATTAATGTATCTTGCCATGTATACACATGGGCTTTACAATTTTTATTTTGCCACGTCTCACGCGGACTTATGATCCTGTAAGGAAAAAATTAATTTGCGTTTATTTCATTAATCACACAGATCTTTACAGCAGTTTCGAAAAAATACCACCCTGTATTAAGTGTGCTGTCCGCCAACTAACGTTTCCCACTCAAGGGCGACTGAACGATGGGCAGCCGTTCAGTTTTCCTTGAGGTAGGAAGGCGTATTCAAATTCATTATGTATTTTGATTTATCCTTTATATTGCGTGAATTATTCACAGGAACGTTTGAAAGAAAGTTGAATACAAAATCGAATTGGAACACTTCCCTAACAATTAACCTACCCACCCTGCCCTGTGAGCCTTGTAGGCGTGTCCCTCCTAAACCAACAGTTGGGGCATGTGGCCATTCCCCCTGCTTGAACCACAAACCTAGTCTATAGTCCACAGGGAGGGTCACTGCCATTTCACTGAGCGCGAATTGGCGAGGTGTAATGCCTTCTCGCAGCTCAATAAGTTTCCCACCCAGACAAAGTCCCCAGCTTTCTCTATGACTGAATGCATGCCATGTACAATAGCCGGTAATCCACGCGAGCGAGTGGATCCATATTATGGCCTAAGCAAACAAGTCTTTATTACAGACTATCCGGGCTCTGCAGCCTCTTTCCTACATCTGCCCATCCTAATATTGAAGTAGGTAATCATTTTATATTCCAAGCAACATTTGTAGAACAATATCTTCAAATGTAAATAAACTGCAAGCAAAACTGACCTTACATATTCTTGATCTTTTATTTAAATTAAAAATTAATATGAATTAAAATTGAAATTAAAGTTAAACGTTACATTAACTATAACCTTCAATAACGAATCTACATTTAAATTGCCTCATATGTTTTGATAAAATAAGTACATTTTAGTAAAAGAGACTGCAGTAACCCAGCAATATATTAAAGGCGGACAAATACCCCATCTAACAT